ACAGATATATAGTGATTCTATATAACTGAATTGTATATATAGTGATTCTATATAACTGAATTGTGTATAAACACATATAGTCAACAATTTTATAGTATTTACATCATTAATCTCTCTTCTTTTCCTTTTTTATATTTTTTCTTCATTTTAGTGTTCAGTACCTCTACCTTAAGAGACATTGGGTACAGTAATCTGAAATTGTCTATAATCATAATTTTTAATGTAATATTTATACATATTTTCATTTTTCATGTCAAACTCATTAAGATGTACCAGATTTATTCTTGTTAAAGTATACAAGCATGCAAGGATTATGTAATACATATTTTAGCGATTTGACTGTAAATGTTTGTTTTATTTCTTTGGTAATTTGAGTATATTGTCTGTTGGATATAGGAAAAACAAATGTTCAATAAAATATTCTCAATTTTTCTTGTCCCTAAAATGCTAGTAAAAGTTGTATGTTCAAAAAAAATGACTGTTAAAACTGCAGAATATCAGCACAGAGTCTGAATTTGGTAGACTTAATGTTTGTCGCTTCCTTTTCTTTCTTCTGATTATAGGCCTCGTTGCTTGAGATTTACATAAAACTTTGACAGTCATCTGCAAATCATAAGTGTTTGGTGGCAAACCTCTTTGCATTTTAAGGTGAATTTTCTGGGAGCTGCAATTTATCTTAAAAGAAAATTCACATTTTTTTTTTTAACCACAAATAAGGCCCAGATTTTCAGTCTTTAAATTATGTTTAATTATAGTCTAATTGAATAGTGAATTATAAAGGGAAAAAAAGATGTAAACACAAACTTAAGTATATATATTTTAGCCATGAGCTTTATGACTGAAGATATAAAAATAGAATTCAGATCTTTTAATAGCCATGTAGTTTTTCTAGATTATATGCCAAACACTGCTATATTTGTAATGAGTACCTTGGCTAAAATGCATTTGTTTTGAAGCAAAATAGGGTACATCTTAGGTTTTAATAAATCTGATTGGAAAAAATAATCCATTGAAAATACTAGTTGTCAAAATGAGAAAGACAATCGATATAAACTTACTATAAGTACTTCTGAAATATGTAGATTATTGGAAGAAATTTTGGACAATAGGAAAAAACTCATTGTTACAAGAAATACTTGAAAAGAGACAATTTATGAATTTAAGTTGTGAGAATTAATGATCATTACTTTCTTTTTAATTTTTTTTATATTTTATTTTTGAGGCAAAGTTTCGCTATGGTGTTAACAAGGCTAGAGTGCAGTGGTGCCATCACAGCTCCCTGCAGCCTTAAACTCCTGCGCTTCAGTGATCCTCCCACTTCTGCCTCCCAAGTAGCTGGGACTGAAGGCACATGCCACCATATCCAACTAATTTTTGTATTTTTTTAGAGACAAGTTTTCACCATGTTGCCCCGGGTGGTCTCAAACTCCTGAGCTTAAGGAATCCACCTGCCTTGGTCTCCTAAAATGCTGGGATTACAGACATGAGCCACAGTGCCTGAGCTAAGCATTATTTTCTTAATAAAATTTGTCTATGTAGAGAATTCATCTAACTTTAAAGCTCCTTCTATATTCTTAGGAGATACACTACTGCTAAATAATATTCATAAAAAGGTGCTGATTATATATATGTGTGTGTGTGTGTGCGTGTGTGTGTGTGTGTGTGTGTGTGTGTGTATGTATAATTGCAGCCATTAGCAATATCAAATATTTGCATCTATTAAGAAGAAACATGTTCTGTATAGGGTGCTTGCTACTGAGGAAAAATTTAAGCACTGAGAATAATGGTGGCATTCAGTTAATTATATCTCATAAATAAAATGTTACAATTTTTTGGGGTAGTTTAGGATTAAACAGGTTGTTCTTTAACTTTTAATCACAGTCTAACTAATACATGGCCCTTAATGTTGTATCTTTTGGGAAGTTTCCTCGAACAATATTCTTAAATTGTATTTTATTAATGTGAAATAATGTTAACGTATTTTGATTAACATAAATACTAAATGAAAAGTAGCTGCAGTTACTGTAATGAGTGCTGACAATTCTGAGCAAAAGGAAATATCCATAATTTAAACAGCCTTGTGTGCAATAGGAGGTGTATTAGTTTTCTAATATTATGTAAGAAATTTCTACAAATTTAGCAGCTTAAAGTACCCTGTATCAAATCTCAGTTCTGTCAGTTAGAATTCCAGGCACCGTGTGACTGGATTCTTTTTAAGGGTCTTAAAAGGTTCAGATAAAGGTGTCTGTTAGACTCCTTTCTGGAGGCTGAGGAAAATAATCTGCTTCCAAGCTGGTCATGGTCCTTGATCTTTTAGAACTGAGGTTTTCATTTCCTTGCTGGCTATCATCCTTAGACTGTTCTTAGCTTCTAGAGGCTTCCCACATCCATTGGCACATGGCTTCCTGCATTTTCAAAGCCAGCAATAAGGAATCACCCTACTGTTGAAATCTCTCTCATACTTTGAAGTTTCTCTGGGTTTAAGAAGGACCCAGTTTATCTTTTCAGCTCACTAGATAAAGTTATACGCACCCAAATATTACTAACTCAAAGTCAACTAACCTAATCATGGGAGTGATATCCCATTAGATTTCACACACTCAAGGAGAGAATTATAAAAGGATGAGGGACACTTGGAGATCAGTTTAGAATTCTGCCTATCATAAAGAAAATGAGATCATTGGTAGGAAGAAAAGACGACACAGACTTTAAGATACTGAGTTGAGAGACAGAGAATTGGTTGGTAGAAATAGTTTTAGGTTTTTGGAAGTGAAGGAAATGGAGAAGAGGAAATGGCAGAAAACTAGAATAGAAAGACAAAAGGAAGAAAGAAGAAAAATGTATTTTTTGGGGGGGTTCTAAAACCTTCTAGATTTGTGACAAAGGAGTGCTGGGGTGGGGGTGGAGGGGCTACCCTGGCACTGGCCAGATATGAGGCCCCACCAGCATGTTCCCAGCACCTGCAGGGCAGGGCAAGGCAGGACAGAGGCTGGCATGAGGGTTTAATCTAAAATGTCAGCATTGCATAGGCTCTGGTAATTCTGTTACACAACTTGATGGGACATATCCAAAGGCAGTGAAGACAATGAGGTTTATCCTATTTTGGATAGTAATCAAGTATATAAAAGAAAGGGGATGTTGAGAGGCAAAAGAATGAATAATGGTGCTTATAAAGTAATGGTAATCTCTCCATGATCTTACTGCAAATACAATGTTCTGTTTTGTGCAGTGTATCTCCAAATTATGAAAACCAATGAGGCATTGCCAAAGACTGTTGTTCTGATACTATGAGTATGTAAAAGTTGCACTATGAAACTGTCAGATATCCTACCATGCACATCATGTGTTCAAGGTCCGGTCTAAGTCTTTTACTTAAAAAAAAAGAGTATTAGAAATTCAATAAGGGATATTTATTTATTTTTTCTCATTGGAATTTAACATCCTTAAATTGATGTTTATGGCCTGGAGCCTATAACTAACCTAGTTCTTATATTTCTGTGGTGTGGTTCAATGACTGCTTATTTTATAAATGTCAATTGTGGATTTCATCTCATGGCTAAATCTCAGCTGGTTAAGTATAAGAACACTTCTTTTCTCAGCAATGCCAACTTGGCCTTTCCCTCAATTCTCTCCCCAAAATTCTAATAGAAAGGAAGACAGATATTATTAACAGTATCTTTTAGCATTTTATAAATGTGAAAAGATTCCATGCCTAGTAAACTTGGAAGTCATTTTATACTACACTCTCCCCATGGAAATTCAAAATTCATATTTGTATATTCATGCACTGAGAAGTCTTACAACATTTCTTTATAGTTGTATATTTTAATATTTTCATTTAGTGCTGATAGTTCCCTTATAACAAGAAATTGAGACCATTATTTTGACCTGGTTTTACTTTTCAGAATCATTTAAGATTTGAGGTTAATGAGTAATTCTAGTTCATCTGAAGCTCTGAACTCATACTGCATACCTTTTGTTCCCCACTGGAAGTTATGAGTCCATATAACGAACTATTACTAAGAACCGTCTGCCAGCTCAGTTTCTAAAGCAATAGTAATAAAAATAGGTTAGAAGCCAGAAATGGTGTGTGGTATGGTATGCTGATTGACACTTCAAAGATCAGTGAGAAATGCTGAAGTCCGCCTTTTCTACTAATCCACTTCTGCCTCTTTTCTCTTCACATTTCATTTTCCTCAACTATCTTAAAACTCCTCTTATTTTGCTGTATATAAAATTAATGCAAATCACAGTTGACTAGCTCTGCAGCTCTTATTTTTTTTTTTTTTTTTTTGAGACGGAGTTTCGCTCTTGTTACCCAGGCTGGAGTGCAATGGCACGATCTCGGCTCACCGCAACCTCCGCCTCCTGGGTTCAGGCAATTCTCCTGCCTCAGCCTCCTGAGTAGCTGGGATTATAGGCACGCGCCACCATGCCCAGCTAATTTTTTGTATTTTTAGTAGAGACGGGGTTTCACCATGCTGACCAGGTTGGTCTCGATCTCTCGACCTTGTGATCCACCCGCCTCGGCCTCCCAAAGTGCTGGGATTACAGGCTTGAGCCACCGCGCCCGGCCGAGCAGCTCTTATTTTTAAGTTAGGGAATTTAATTCATTATTTGTATTTTTAAAAATAAAATTGTATCTAGTTTATTTTTATTCTAAAATATCTCATATCTGATACCTTCTCAGAAATTTGAATCTGAACTCAGCTTTATTGTGATTTTAGGACTCCAAAGGAGTTAGTAGTTGACATTTCAATAATTCTAAAAGAGTAATTTGCTATTTTTCATGTGTAAATATAAAGCATTTTTATTCAATCATGATAAAATATTCCCTTTTCTGGATCAATTCTGGAAAGAATGGTATTTGGTGTATAGCAAATAAAACATACTCAGCACTTGTCTGATGTGAAATGCGAATAATAAACACTTATTTTGACAACTATAATTTTTGAAATCTGTTCTCTAAATGTATGTCTGTGTCTCTATTTTTGCTTTAGGAGTACAAGATCCTCAGCATGAGAGAATTATTACTGTGTCTACTAATGGAACTATTCACAGCCCAAGGTTTCCTCGTGCTTATCCAAGAAATATGGTTTTGGTATGGAGATTAGTAGCAGCAGAGGAAAATGTATGGATACAACTTACGTTTGATGAAAGGTTTGGGCTTGAAGACCCAGAAGGTGACATATGCAAGTAAGTTATCATACTTGAAATTCCAACAATTTAACAACTATTAAAGTCTTTCAAATTGCTTATTTTTGGTGATCTGATTTTAAAAGACATCTGTTTTATTTTTCTGGTGATCTAAGAAATGTCTAACCTTATTTAAGCTATGTTTTATTTGAAGTCTTTATTTAAAATCAGAAGACACGTGCATGTGCATACATAGTCATTATTTTCTACCTACTTCTAAAATGATTTAATATAATTTATGGTAAAAAAAGTATATATAATAAACCATTTAAAATAAGGAATAGAGAATACAATGCTACATAAAGGAAGGTAGTTGTGCTAGAAAATGTTAAGTTGCAGTTAGTGCTAAAAATCTTATATTTGACCTTCCTCATTGCCAAATCAATAAAATAAACGATAAGCTACTAAAAGGAAAAGCTCTATCCACGGGTACGTATTAGCTGGATACATGCACATGCATAGGACTAAGAAGTTTGAGTATTACATCAAGAAGAAATATAGTTCAGAAAGCAGAATTAGAAATTTAGGCTAATGTTATGCCTTGCCAGGTAGGAATTTATCATAATTATCCGAGAAGCATTCATGAACCAAAGTTAGCTGGAGTATTCCGCCCACACAAAAGACCACCTACTGGATGTCATACAAATATGACTCTGTAAATCCCATATGAATACACTTGTCAAGGTTGGGTGGGCTTACCGAAGATTTTTCACTTCAATGACATTTGTATAACATGAAAATATTTTACTTGAACCTCTTCACTGGATTTTTTATTTTCTCTTTGATATACAAGTTAAAAGAGAATTTTCATCTCATGGTGTATTACAGATAAATATTTCAGTACAAATGAAATAAACTTTGTACTTGCTGTCATCACAGTTTGTATCTTCAGCATCACATAGTTACATACTCTCCACGTTTGTTCTTTCTGTGACTATGCATTTCATGTTGTTTTTTTCCTTCCATCTGTAATTTTAGATTTTGATAACTAGAAGCTACCCTGATTCTCTTTAGAAAACGACCAGAGGAGTAAAAGCAGATGCCGTATATCTCATTCAGATTTTGTACCTAAACAAATGCTAAACCCATGTTTTCTAATACCTGTTTAGGCAGTTTTTCATCATGCTGTGCTGAACCTCTTGTCTTTTTTTTTTTTTTTTTTAATAAACAAGGTTTCATAATCTTGTCAAAAATTACAAGAGGTGTAAGATTTTGCCCTACTTGGAAAGTAGTAAACAGTCCTGCCAGTTTCCTGGATGCTAATGGAAGACACGAGGCTTCTGGGTCAGAGACAAAGGAGCAAAAGTCGCAGCCACTGGAGTATTACTAGCACTTTCTTGTGCTTTCTCCTAAGTTCCAATTCCCACAGATCAACACCAAGAGAGCCATGTGACACCTGCTACCTGTTTTCCTCCCTGATTACACCTTCTTGTCACTGCAGATATAAGCATTGTTCTAAATTTTGTTACTCATTCTCCTGATTTTCTCTGTAATTTTACCAGAAGTACCTATTTCTCTATGTGTGATCTTTCAAAAATAGTTAATTCCTTGCCTGTTTTGAAATATGTATCAATGGAATAATACTATGTGTTTTTTTTTTTTATGATTTAACATGTTTCAAAACAAGCAAACCTAAAAAAAGTTGCTTTAAAATTAGTTCATGTTCAGGCAGATAGCTTATTAGATCATGTATTGTCTTTGATGTACAATAAATAACCTTTTTTGTGTCTTCTACTTTGATGAGCATCTGACATGTTCCCAGTTCTCCTTGTGCAAAAATGCAAGAAAACATTGAGACTTTCTGAGAATGTTTTCAGTGTCTTAAGATATTTATACTATCAACTTTACTAGGTAGAGTTAAATTGTTTTTTTAAAGTGACCAGTTTATACGTTTCCCAACAAGTCACAAAAATTTTTTGTTGCACTGCATTCTCACCAACTTCTGTTCTGTCTTCTTTTTTTTTTTTTTAAGAAATTGGTAATATGGGTGAAATTATACCTCATTATTGGTTTTATTTTGTTTTTCTGATTGCTAATAAGGTTGAGAAATTTTTGTGTTTATTATTACTCATTCATATTGCCTGTTTATCGTGCCTGCTTATGTCTTTTACCCATTTTGTATTGATCTGTTTGACTATTTAAATCTTGCCTTTAATTTTCCTTTATTTATGTGGAATTTATTTATGTTTGTGGTATGAAGTTTTTCAGGAGGGTATCCAATAGTGTGCCAACGTCATTTACTGAACAGTCATTTTTTTCCCCAATGAAGTACAAAGTCAGCTAGGTCGCAGATGAGGTTTCTGTATGGAATCTGCTCTGTTTCTTCTGTTACTTTGGTCAGTTTTGTTTTTCTTAATTGAATGGCACTGTCTTAACTGCTGGAGCATTATGGAAGCTTTGTGATAAGCAAGTCTCACCTTATTTTATTCTCATTTTGGAACATTCTGTCTGTTTTGCTTTTTAATATAAAAATAGGTTGTAGAGTTCATTGAAAGCTACTGTTTTCAATCTTTTCAACCTTGAGAAATAGGTTGTCAAGTTCCTTGAAAACTACTGTTGTCATTTTTATTGTAAAACATTGAATATACAGATCATGTTGAAGAGAATTGACATCACAGTAATAGTGACTCTGTCCTTGAGAACTTCATTTACATTGCTCCATTTATTGGAGTCTTCTGTAATAGTCTGTATAGGTTTTAAAATTTTGTTCATAATAATATCACACATTCTTTATTTAGAGTTAGTTCTAGTTTTCTTATAGGCTAATGCTGAAATCTTTTGTTGACACTACATTTTCTAACTGTATATTGTTGGTGTTTAGAAAAGCAATCAATTTCTTAGTATTGATCTTATATCTAGAAAACTCAGCAAGCTTTTTCAGTTTTTTGACAGTTGCTGTGGAAATTATATTTTATTTATGCAAAAGATGATATGGTTTGTGAAAAGAAAGATTTTATTTTTCTTTCGACTCTTTCACTTTTTCTTTTCTATTTCATTATGTTGTTGATTGAATTAGTATGTATCTGTCTTCTTCCTGCTTTTTTTAACTTAAACTTTAATATTTGGAATAACTTTAGATTTGTAGGATGTTGTAAAGATAGTACAGAGAGTTTTTGCATACTTTTAATTCAGGTTCCTCCGATGTTAACATTCTACATAACTTTGGCATATTTGTATAGTTTAAGAAATCAACATTCATACAGTATTATTAACAACTCCAGGTCTTATTTGGATGTCAATAGTTTTTCCTGTTTATGACTTTTTTCTGTTTCAGGATCTTCTTCAGAATAAACTCATTGCATTTAGTTGTAATGTCTTGTTAGTCTTCTAGAATCTGTGACTGTCTTTCCTTATGTCTCATGACTAGACAGTTCTGAACAATAAATAAAACTAGATGATTTTAAAGAATAATATTTTTAAAGGTAAAATGGTCAGGTATTTTTTAGAATGGCTCCCCAGTTTAGGTTGTTCACACAGTTTGTCATGCTTACAATGAGACTATATGTCTTGGGGAAGAATTACAAATAGGTGATATGCCCTTACCAAATCAGGAAGTACATACAATCAGCCTTACTCTATAAGTGATCATGTTAGCTTTGATCACTTAGGTGGTCTCTGCTGGGCTTCTGCTCTGGTGAGGTAATGTATTTTCATTTCATATTCTATTATTTGGAAGTATGTAGCTAACTCCAGCCCACACTCAAGGAGATACTGATTAAGCTCCACCTCCTAAAAGGTGTTTGCATATATTATTTGGAATTCTTCAGCAAAGAAGATTTGTCTGTCCTTCCTTTTTTTCATTTCTTCCTTTTGTCATTTCTATTAGTAAAAATTAATAAATATATATTTTATTCTATGTATTACAACCAAATTCTGTCATTATTAACTCTCTTGTTGAAATTGTTCTGTCTGTGGCCATTGGGCCCAAAAGAGTTTCTGTTAACATGTCAATATTGATTATGTTGGTTGATGAAGGTTTATGTTTTGTTTTGTTTTCTTTCAATTTACTTTATCATTTGAAGTACTTTTTTTCATTTTTATTTTGCCAACAGGTATTTTCCCCTTAGGGAAAATGCCTTTATTATTCTTTTCTTTTGGATTTACAAGTAAGTTGCCAACATTATGACACTTTGTACCCACTATATGTTGTTTAAGAACAAGGATATTTCCCAAGGAACATCAGTACCAGTGTCATGTGAAATAAATTTAACATTAATATGAAACTCTTACCCAGTGTTTTTCATCATCCAGAAATATTTTTTAATCATTTCTTTTCAATTTTTGATCTAATAAAAAATTATAAATTTTGTATTGCATTTGATTATTGTAACTCTTTCATCTACTTTAGTCTGTAGGGGCTCCTTGCCTTTTCTTAGCTTTCATGACATTGATATTTTGAACAATTACAGAGCATTTGTTCTACAGACTCTCAATATTAATTGATCTGAATATTTCTTCATAATTACATCCTGATTAAATATACTGGCCAGAATGCTCTATGTGATAAGTATTTTTCAGTTGCTTACAATGTCACTTTCTTGCATTGTCAGTGACATGAGTTTGATGACTATCCACCAGATTTCTCTGTTGTGAAAGTGCTTTGTTCTTCTACACTGTAATCAATGTGATTTATGGGGGTATACTTTTAAAACATGTAAATCTTGTTCTGTGACAATCTGTCACCCAATTTTTTTTAACATCCATTTATGATTTCTACTTTTAAAGTCAGTTACTCGTTTTACAGTTTCTAGGCATTTTTCTGAAGTTTTAAGTTCTATTGTCATTAGAGTTTTCACAAAACATCCTTAATGTATTTTAATTTCTGCTGCATCTCTAACTGTGTCTTTTGTTTTATTGCTAATATTGTTTTGTGTTCACTCCTCTTTATTTGGCTTTTCTTTTCTCTTTTCTCACTTAGTTTTGTCAATGGTTCGGTTTATTTATTGTTCTTTCAAAGAAAACACATTTTGGCTCTGTTAATACTGTTAAAGAATAAGGGT